TTTCACTACTAAAATACAAAAAAAAAAAAAAAATTAGCGACGGACAAATTCTGTAGGTAAACCAAAAACTCCATTGCTAATCCTATTTAGTGACGGATTAGCAACAAATTATCAAGAAATTCTCTGTTAGCTATGAGCGATTTAGCGATAGAGTAACAACGAAGTTCGTAGCTAATTTTATTTTTTTTTGTAGTGTTTTCGCTTTTATAAGTTTTAGCTCTTAATCAATGAATAACATATTAGCTTCATTTTGTTTCACTTATGCAGTTTTCGTGAATGGACAGTTTTGCAAAGACCCAAAGCTTGCAAAATCAGATGATTTCTTTGCTTCAGGTCTTAATGTAAGAGGAAATATAGCGCTGCCTAAGTGGGGTTATTCTGTGACTATTTTGGATGTAAATACAATGCCTGGACTCAACACTCTTGGTATTTCTATATCTCGTGCTGACTTAGAACCGAAGGGTCTAGTCCCATTTCACACACATCCTCGAGCTACTGAGCTCATAACTATATTGGAAGGTACTATTTATGCTGGATTTCTTCTCCCTGATTTTCCCAACATTTTTAAGAGTCATCTCTTCTCGAAAATTTTGAATCCTGGAGATGTATTTGTGATCCCACAAGGTCTTATTCACTTCCTGTATAATGTGGGACATAAAAATGCTACTGTACTTGCTTCTTTCAACAGTCAACGTCCTGGATTCGTCATGATTCCTAGTGAAATCTTTGCTTCAGATCCGCCTATTCTAGACGATGTTCTTGCCAAAGGTTTCCAGCTTGATAAGAAAGTGATCAAGCAACTTCGGAAGAAATTCTCCTAGGAGATGCCATTACAGACAGGGGCTCACTTGAACCTATAGTTTCGGCTCAGACCCTATATATCTTTCCTCATTAAATATGTACAAATAATAGCTTTTGAACCCATTAAATTAGATGAAGTATGATAGAATTTCGAATCTGAACCCATGTAGTTTAAATTCTAGATTCGCATCTGATTAACGATATTATATATTGTGTGCTGAAAGTTGTGTGTAGCTTGTTCACAAGCAATGTGGGAATGTATTCGTATACTTTTCTTTAACGTTACCATTTCCATTAACAAATTCCTATAGCAGATAAGCAACTGGGAGGATTCACTATGAATACAACACTAATAAACTAGTGATTAGTAAATAGCAAAGAGCTTGACAATTTGATGTGAACTTATAAATAGAAGCTGTCATTTTCACTAATTCTCTATCCGTCGTGTTGTTATTTTTCAAAAAAGGAATAAAGTCAAGGAACTAGTTGTGAGCTAATTAAACTATAAATGTTATATTTATGCTCGCAATGTCCATTTGGTACATTCAATTTTTGGTATATAAATAAGTAGGAGTACTATCTATTATTTAGGGGTAATTTCATGGTTCAATTTTACTTTATTGCACTAAAGTCCAATCAAATAATCTAATTGAAAATATCATATCTTCAAAAGCTCATTACTTCAATAAAGGCATTGAAGTCAGGATGGCAACCTCAATATTTTTTCTAATGAATCCACAAATATATTAAAGTTTCTCCTACTAACAGACTGAAATAACATTAATGAGAAAAGAAAAACTTCCCCATCACATCACTAATCGGCATAGGATTCAAGATAAGACCAGGATTCGAGTCAAGTCGATGTTTTCTTGATTGAATTATTTGTTGAAAAGGAAAGGAATTGCCGGGAGAGACAAAAAGTTTTACTAGTTATAATTACTCATAAATTAGTGTAGTTTGACAAACGAATTACTGAAGTAAATTTGGAAAAGAATATGATTTTTCATTTTGGACCCGTTAATTTTTTTTTTGTGCGCCTAGAAGATAACAAAAGATATTTTTACACAATTAGCCGGTCGGATTAACTGTTTATTTTTTCGAGCATGTATACATAAATTATATACTGATTATATACAGTTATATAAATTTAATACATGGATTATAAATATATTATACATATGTCGGTTATCTTAAATTTAGCGGTTGGATAAACGACTACTTAGGTTACTTCGAGCATGTGTCTTGATGTCACGACCCAAAATCTAACCTGTCGTGATGACGCCTATCTCAGTACTAGGCAGGCCGACAACATCAATAACCCACGATTTTCTTTAAATTTTAAAACGTAACGTTTAATACAATACCAAAGATCTAGCAATTTTCGATACAACACTCCCAAAACCTGGTGTCACTGAGTACATGAGCATCTAATATGAGTATAAGTCTGGAAAATACGGTCTATAATAGTCTGAGACCAAATACAGTTAACAAGGAGATAGAGAAGGAGAGACAAGGTCTGCGGAGCACGGCAGCTACCACAAAATCTCCTGAAAATCAACTACACGAAATGATCAACACCCGCTATGTTCAGGAACACCTGGATCTGCACACGAAGTGCAGGGTGTAGTATGAGTACAACCAACTCAGCAAGTAACAATAATAACTAAGGAACTGAAGATAATGACGAGCTACACAATCATAGTTCACTTTCAGTAGTTCCAGCAAAGAATAGACATATTTTCAAATCCGGCAGTTTAAGTCAAATCAATTTTATACAGTTCAATTTCAAGTAATCCGGATATAAATTCTTTCAGAGATTTCACAACAATGACAGATAGCAACCAAGTGCAACAACAAATGTAAAGCAAGTATAACCTCTCAGGCAACAGTCACTCAGCTCATCACAACAGCTTAACCACTCGGCTCTCAGCCCTCAGCACTCACACTCAATGGGTACTCGCGCTCACTGGGGTGTGTACAGACTCCGGAGGGGCTCCTACAACCCAAGCGCCATAATCTGCACGGATAACTCACGTGCTATAATATCCTGCACGGATAACTCACGTGCCATAATATCCTTACCTCACCGACAGGCCCTCGACCTTACTCAGTCCTCAACCTTTCAAGTCTCTCGGGCTCTCAGGAATCACAAAGATCAGCCCAAACAAAGATAACATAGTTTATCAATAATTATCCAGAAATACTGAGGTATAATACGCAAGAAAAATCATGACTGAGTACAAGACAATAATTAGCAAATAATTTAACAAGTACATGACCTCTACGGGTCTCAACAGTACTATAACATAGCCTAAGGATGATTTCTAACATGATTTATAGTCAAGTTTCTTCAACACATAGAGATCATATAGCTAACAATAAATTATTCAACTTTACAGTTTTCTGGGACGGACCAACTCACAATCCCCTCGGTGCACGCCCACATGTCTGTCACCTAGCATGTGCGTCGCCTCCAAAATAATCACATGATACCAAAATTCGGGGTTTCATACCCTCAAGACCAGATTTATAATTGTTACTTGCCTCAACCCGTGTAATTTTTTATTTCGCTATGCCCTTTCCACAATAATTGGTCTCCGAAAGGCTTGTATCTAGCCACAATTAATTCGATTCAATCAATACCAATTATTGTAATTAATTCCATAAGGAGATACTAATTTTGCTTCCAATAAAATCTGAAATTAACTCAAAAATTGCTAGTGGGGCCCACGTATCGGAACCTGACAAAAGTTACATAATATGAACGATCCTCCAACTACGAGTCCAACCATACAAATTTCACCAAAATTCGACACCAACTCGACCCTCGAATCTTCAATTAAAGCCTATGAAGATTTCTACCATTTTCAACCCAATCCTTACCCAATCCTTACCCTATGAAGATTTCTACCATTTTCAACCCAATCCTTATCCATTTGAACTTAACAATCTTTTCACAACCTTATTGGTATGTATACATAATACTCTTATACCCAAGAAATATACTATAAATCACCCATTTGTTTTTTTACTCCAAATCCGAAATTGAAGGATTGAGGAAAGAAATTCTTACCTCTTTGAAGCCCTAACAAGATCCTTGTGAAATCTTCAAACCTTGAATTAGAATTGATGGATAAATGACTAAGTCTTCACTTTCTCTCTCTAAAATGCTCTCACCTCTCTCTAAAATATCAGATTTTGGCTAAAAAATGAGCTTCAAGGGCTATAAATCGAAGGTGGGCCGGGTAAAAAATTAGAAAGAATGGAAGCTCCAGCGCAGTTATGCGACCGCATAACAGGTATGCGGTCCGCATATCCGCCGCATAATTTGGCCTCCAAAGTTGGGCGTTACTGACCCGGTTTGCGATCATTATGCAACTCGCATACTTGTTTATGCGGTCGCATAATGCACCGCAAAACAGGTATGCAGTCGCATAGTGCACTGTAGATTTTTCTCAAATCTTGCCCCCCTCTTGATCCACTTTGCAACCATTATGTGGTCCGCAGAGTGATTCTGCGATCGCATAGTGGTCGCAGAAATGACCTTTTTCTAACAAAAGTTTTCTTTACACATCAGTGCATAGTTCAACCCAAAAAGTCCGAGCCTTCTATAATCTTTGCTTCTAATTGATCTATCTCGGCACCACCAAACCTTAGTTTCCTTAGAAAAATTTCTCTGGGGTCGTTACACATAAGTTAATATCCGGTCAACCTTTTCAACTTAAATTCTAAACCTGGGAACTAAGAGCTCTAAATCATTTCAAAACCTCACCGCACCCAAACCAATTACCCCGGCAAGCCAAATAACAACTGTAATTCACAATTTGAGCAGTAAATGGGGGAACGAGATTGAAATAGTCAAAACGACCGGCTAGGTTGTTACACTTGAGTCCCTAGCTTGATCTATCATAATTTGTTGAAAACTAGAAGTTTAAAGGTTTAAATAATTCCTAAGTTTGACCGTAGGTTGACTTTGTTGCTATCAGGTTCGAATTACGACTCCGGAACTTGGTATAGGTTCATTTAAGTATTTATAACTTGTCTGCAAAACTTGGTGCAAAACAGAGTTGATTTGACGTGATTCGTACGTCAGGTTTAAAAAATTAAAAGTTCTTAAGTTTCTTTGAAATTTTATTTGTTTTGGTGTCCGATTCGTGGTTCTAGGTGTCATTTTGATGTTTTGATCGCACGAGAAAGTTTGTATGATGTTATTACACTTGTGTGCATGTTTGGTTTGGAGACCGAGGGGCTCGGGTAAGTTTCGGATAGGCTACAAAATGGTTTTTGACTTAGAGTAATAAATGGTGCTTCTTTGCTTCTGGTGTTACCTGCAGTTCTCGCAATTGCGAGGTCTAACTCGCAAATGGAGATTCGCTTTTGCGAAGGATACTTCGCATATGCGAGCATGAGTTAGCTGGGCAGGACTCGCAATTGCGAGGAAAATGTTCGCATTTGCGGACTTGACAGTGGTCGCAATTACGATCTAAGAGTCGCATTTGCGACTCAGCAGTTCTCGAGCAGGCTTCGCATTTGCGAAGTAAAAGTGCGCAATTGCAGAGGCTGGGTGTTTGCAATTGCGAACAAATTATCGCATGTGCGACGAAGACATGCTCAGTGACTTCTTCGCATCGCAATTGCGAACTATGTATTGCAGTTGCGATAACTGCATTTGGGTAAAAGAGGAGAAAACCGGGATTTAGCTTATTTCTTTCAAACTCTCAACCCTAAACACCCTATAGGTGATTTTTCCGATAGGTATTCTTCCTAAATACATTAGTAAGTGACTTCAATCTACTTTTTTTCAATTACTAATTATATTTCATAAGTTTTTAATATGAAATCTAGGATTTTCATGGTAGAAATTAGGGATTTGGGTAGAATTAAGAATTTTTATAAATTTGAGATTTAGACCTCGAATTGAGGTCGGATTTCGAAACAAATTACATAATCGGGCTCGGGGGTGAATGGGTATTCGGATTTTGGTCCGAATTTTAATTTTGACCAAGCGGGCACGAGGTTGACTTTTGTTGACTTTTTCAATAATGATCTTAGTTTCTAAGGCTTATTTTGATCATTTGGTTAATAATTTGCTAGATTTGGTTGGTGTGGAGGCTTGTTCGAAAGGTAAGGTCGTGGTTGAACTTTGAGTTAATT